ACCTGTCTCCGTGCCTCTTCTGGGAGGCCCTGGGAGGGCCGACACAGCCCTGACTGTAGGAAAGAGCAAATTTTCAAAGACATCTCCCCCAGAAACTTCTGACCTTGGACAGTGTTTATGGCCAGGTCGAGGGCACCCCTTATCTTTCAAGGCTAGAAGGCGGCTTGTAAATGGTTGACTTATTAACTCAGCTTCGGTTTTCAGTGGGAAGCCAAGGCCTGAATGGGGTGGGCGCCAGGGGCAGCTCTGGGTGCCCCTAAACTCCAGGCCGTGGGCCTCTAGCTCACAGCCTCACGGTTCTCCCGTCGGCAGGGAGCCCAGTGCCTGGATGCAGAAGGCGCATGAGGTTGGGGGGCGGGGGTGTTGCAGGGCTTCTGAGCCAACAGCCAGCACCTGGAAGGGTCCATCCCCGACCCATCCCAGCTCAGAGCAGGAGCTGAACGCAGCCCCGTGGTCGGGCTCCTTCCCCTGCAGCGGTTTAACTGACAGCCCAAACAAGAGGCTGGGCCCGGCTCAGCTTGCACCATCAACCACAGTGCCAGCCAAGGGAGGAGACGAGCCTTTTCCTACCCCTATGGTCAAAAACGAATTTCCTTTATGGCTGTCCTCTCCACCCTCTCCTGTATATCCCCTATTTTTATCTCAAGTTGGTTTTGTGTGTGTGTGTGTGTGTGTGTGTGTGTGTGTGTGTAGGATGGTGGATGATTCTCCTGGCTTCCTTTCCTGACTCAAGATGTGCTGGGGGCTACTGGTCACCCTTGGCCAGCACTGGTCACCTCCAGGTCCCAGGACACAGGTGGGGACACAGGTGCCCTGTGGGGATGACCCCAGCCACGGGGCAAACAGTGAAGTCAGGACTGGGGCATGTTCAGTGCGTTCATGAAGCCTTTCACTCACTGCAGAAGGAATATTCTCTCTGACAGCTGTGTCCCCAGGCTTGTACCCCCTCAACTCTCCAATAAGGTTCTCACCCTCCATGAAGCTCTCCCCACAGAGAAGTAATCAGCCTTCCCCTCGGATGAACCCCACCTGCTCACCCCCTCCTGGGCAACGGCTGATCATCGAGTTCATCTCGATCTTGGCATCTGCGTGGTACCACGTGCAAGACCTCACGGAAGCACCAAAGACAGAAAACGCGCCTTTTTACCTGATGATAAGCCGATCCTGCCAGGCGATCGTGGGCGCCGTGGGAGCCTCTCTGTGCTTCTGTGTCACACAGAGGAAGCTCTGTGTCCCGGGGCAGCGGCGCGACCATCCCGGGCAGGTTCTTGTTAAATCCCAAGCTGGGATAAGCCACGGCTGGGAGCACAGGGTCAGGACCTCAGGCTCAAGAAAAAAGAAACAAGAGTAAGAGCGGCAACGAACGCACCAACGAAGGAGAAGGGGAAGCAGCCGCCCCCCCACCCCCACCCCCCACTTGGCACAGGTGCTGCCCTGATCGTGGGCTCGCTCTACCTGAGTCGGTGGCCCCGGGGCAAAGCGACCCAAGCCTGAGCCCAGGAGAGCCAGCATGAGGACAGCCCGCGTGGGGGTGGGGGTGGACCTCTGAGTCCCCCTGCTCCGGGCTTGTGCGGGAGAGCGCGCCGGCGTCGCCCCCTGCCGGCGTGGAGGGCAATGACCGGCTGGGCGGCCCGCTGCGGGCTCCCTGGCGGTGGTCAGGTCGCCTCCGCTCTCTCGAAGACATCGGAGGGGAGGAGGCTCGATGAAGCTCCAAGTCCCTTAACAAAAGGGCTTTGAGGATTCCGAGGAACCGTCAAGGATGTTGAGGCTCCCCCCGGAGTAAAGGCTGCCAGGACCACTCAATGCTTTACAACCAGTCCCCCCACCCCCCGCGGGGTACGCAGGTGCGGACGCACACTGCCCGCCCACTGCTCCCAGGTCTCACCTGGGGGCCCAGGTGAGCTGGGGGGGGGGCAGGTGAGCTAGCCGCCCTCTCTGCCTGCCTGGATCCGGCTGCTTGGATCCCACACTGGCGATTGCCTGTCTCCACGAATCCCCTCCGATTCCTGTTCTGTGCCGGACCCGGACCCCCAGTAGCGCTCAGCCTTGCCGGGTGCTGATGTTTTACCGCTGCTGAACTTGAACAGCTGTGGTCCGGGTCAGCGGCCCCCAGCCTGCCCTCCCTGGCTCTGCTCTGCATAGGTAATCCCCAACCCCCCACCATCCATCATTCCCGGCCCGCCATCTCTCCCCTCCTGCGTGACCACCGGTTGCTCACCAATAATTTGAAACTGTCTGTGACAGAGACAGTGTCAGCAGCTTATCTGCGGTGCTTGATTCCAGGACTTAAAGGTTGGGGGCGGGGGGGGCGCGGTCAGGGGAGAGAGTGTTGATAAGAACGATAGAGTTCACTGGTCGCCTATAAAGGGATTCCGGGAAACCACCCTCCGCCCCGGGACTACTCAGGAAGAACAGACTCTTCCCCCCACTGTTCCCAGTGGCCTTCATCGTCATGGCACCTTTTTTCTGCTTAGTTGGTTCTGGCCCCTCTGGGCGTGATGCCGCCTCTGCTTCTCCACTTCCGGTCACTGCTCTCGCCGCTCCCAGAGCATGACGGGAGCTTTCTCACCTGTGCCCACCTGGGAAGCCCCGGCTTCTTGCCACCACGCTGTGGGCGAGTAGATGGACATCTGCGGTGCGAAAGGATCCTCCTGGGGTCCGGCGGGTGGGGGCCGAGAATCTCCGCATTTCAGATTAGCTCCGCGGTAACGCAGGGGCGCGGACAGACATGCGGCAACCCCTACTTTCTCGGCTTGAGCGCTCGGGTCGATGCTGTGCGGAGCTGTCTGCACCTAGGATGGAGGTTGGCGGGAGGATGGGGTCGCAGATGGGGATGGGGACTTGGTGTGTGCACGCACGTGTGTATGCACCCCTGCGTGTGCCTGTAGGTGTGTACATGCACACGTGGGAGGGTGTGGGGACACACGGACACACTTGTGTGCATGGCAGCAGTTGCACGCAAGTGTGAATATTTTAGGAAGAAGGAGAAGGGAGCAGTTGAGATTGCTGGAGAAGGCTGGAGGACTGGTTAGTGATCAGGAGGAGAGAGGAGGGAAGAAAGGCATGGTTCTGTTAAGCCGGAATAGAGGGCGGAGAACAAGAAACCACAAAAGCTTCTGGTATTTGGAATATAAAAAAAATAGCAGGTCCGGGAGTTGTTTTTTTTTTTTTTTTTTTTTTCCTCCTTTTTCCCTATAATAGGCCATCGAGGTCAGGTTTCAAGAGTTATAGTAAAATGAAAATTAACAGGGCTTTCTAAGAGTCAGGAGGAGTATGTACTAGGTTCACCCTACTGTGAGTACATAACCGGGTCAGCTCCCCATCCCTGTAGGGCGGGGGTCTGTGGGTCCACGCAGGCCCCTGCTCTCAAGACTTTGCTGTCTTCCTGGGGGACCGGGTGACTGTGTCTGGAAGCATTCGAGGACAACTCAGGCCAGGCATGTGGGAGTGGGGATTCTGCACATGTGTCTTCAAGACAGGATTCAAGCAAGAGGTGAGAATGAGTTGGGCCCAGAAGGATGGATATGGTCCAGGTAATGGAGAAGGGAGGGAAGGGTTTCTAGAAGGGGTATGTATGTGTGTGTGCGAGTGTGTGTATGTCTGTCAGAAGAAACCCAAGACTGGAAGTAGGTTAGCAGGGGATATATATATGGCTCGGAAGAATGGTCAACACTCTGGGGGCTTCCCATGTTCCAGGCCATACATCTGCATGTGTGATCTTCCCCCACCCTTACAACAGCCCTGAGACTTTATTATTCTGCTCATTTTGCAGAAGAGAAAACTGACATAGGCCACAGGGTCCATAGGGGAAAGAACTAGAATTTGAACTCACAAATATCTCCAAACCCTTGTTCCTTTGTGTCTTTGCTTTTGAAGATTGGATTTTGATTTTTAATTTTTTAAAAATTTAATTCCAATATAGTTTCTAAATGTTACTTATACTCCAGTATCATTAACACACAGCACTATGTCAGTTTCAGGTGTCCAGTGCAGTGGTTCAGCACAGCCATGAGTCACCTGATGTCCATCTTGACAAGTGCCCTCCCTAATCCCCATCACCTATTTCCCCTCCCCCCACCCACCAAGCCCTCTGGTACCCCTGAGTTTGTTCTCTCTAGTGAAGAGTCTATTTCTTGGGTTCAAACTCTTGTTCTTAATCACACTTCTCGTGGGGCCCACCTGGCAGAGGTTGATAGAGAAGAGTTGAGTGGGGACCGGTGGGTGGACGGGCGGGGGATTGAGTGTCAGTGTTGGAGCTCTCAGAAGATTCTAGCGTTACTGCAGGAAGCCATAGGGAGACTTGGCTGGTCTTGACCACTGTGGGATGTGGAGAGAGTGGTTCTAAACAGAACACATGAGCTGATGGGGGTTTACTGGAAGATGCTAGAGAGCAGGGAGAATGCTTAGGAGTGGGCATCGTGTACCTGACTAAGGTGGAGGGGTGGCAAGAGGGAGGACAGGATGAGTGAAAGGGCATCTCAGCATGAGACAGAAGTCTGCGCAAGGGGCGTAGGGCAGAGGGGGGCTGGAGAGGTAACACCAGGAGCAGAAACGAAACTCTCAGGAGGGGCAGCGCCTGGTTCCACTCAAAGGAGACTCTGCCCCACCTTGAATTTCTGGAGCAAAATAAGGGTTCCTGTTGTGGCACTTCTCATAACTTTTGATATGCCCGTGTGACTGATATGCCAATGTGACTCTATAAGAGGGGAATGTAACATGTGGTATTTCTCCAACCTATTGACAGCGAGACTCCATTTCTACAAAGTGCCTCCTGGAGCTGGTGTTCCCCAGCACACTCTTTGGGAAACACTATAGTGGCCAACCATGGGAAACGTGAGTAATCCGCTAACTTGGAAATGTGGATGCAGAGCTGAGGCTCTCATTTCACGAACCTGTGCAGTTTACCTGTTTGTTTTGCGTTCCTAATCTTGCTTTGTCCTCTTCTAGAAGCCAGGATCACTTCCTCCAAGTCTGATGCTGAGGGGAGCCTTTGGACAATGCGTTCGCTGGCCCCGTGTCTGGCCTGCAGGCAGAAGTGGGCTCCCCTGGACAATGACCATCCTCGAGCCTTCCTGAGGACAGGAATGACCTTGCCCTGCTCAGCCCTCTGCAGCCTGGGAGGCCCACCCCCTGGCCTCCATCCTCCACCATACCTGGGGAGAGCCGCGCTCTGTCAGAATAACATTCGGCCTGGGGGAAAGACAACCAACAGGGACCTTAGAACAGCGTGGCGGTTACAGCAAGATCATAGCAAAAATAATAATGTGACTTATTTGCTCTAGAAGAGAATTCAGAACAGGAAGGATCTTGGACGCCGTCCAGGTGGTGTTAGTTACAAAGGAAGCGAAAGAACCACTTGAGAAGGTCTCCCTGGTGAAGCAGTTTGTAGCCCTTGGGGACTGGAGGTGGTGAAATGGGGAATATTTAGGGAGAGGACCTGTCTGTTGACATAGCTACCGGCTTGCACAGCGCCCCGAGGCGTGTCCCCACTGGAGACGGGAGGATCAGCTCCAGGGACGAATCAGCCACTTGGGAGTCTAGAGACCTGGACATCTAACCCCAGCCCAGCCACCGATGGGCTAGCTGACCCCAGGGCAAAACACTGTGTGGTTTCCTCATTCCGAAAGAAAAAGAGAGAGGGAGAGAGAGAGAGAGATAAAATCTGATCTACCTCTCAGAGGTTTGGGTGGTTTCTGTTTTGCTTTTTGTGAAGAGCAACTAATAAAATGATACCAAACCCCTCTGAAAATAAATACAGGCTCTATGTGTTTCTAGCAATAATAGCAAGTATTCTCGTTGGGATCGTGTCTCAATTTACCATGATAAAATCGCTGGTAAATATCTAAAAAGTTACTCCTTTGTGCACATACCTTCTCCATAGCAAATGGCTTTCTGTTTGGGGAAAGTGAAAGGACACTCCAAGTCATTCATGTGGGGGTTTATGTATTTCTCTCCCCAGCTGAATAGAACTCTCTCCAGGTTTCCAATTTGGTCATATTTCAGAAATGGTTGAACTTCAGATTCTGAACTTTCGCTCAGAGTGCGGAGTTAGAAAAAATAATGAGATTAGCAGATAAGTAAACAAACATTTTAATTGAGACTCAAGGCTGCAGAAGTACTCTGGGCAGTATGGAATTACATGTTTCCATATTCTTTGTTGGTCTGCGCGAAACCAAAACCCAGAAGGTTATATTAAACATAATCGCCTAGCTCCACGGGGCCCTGCAAAGGGTCATTTTGCATTTCATGTGGTCATTTAAAGGCCAGCGATTGTACCAAACACAATGGCACGAATGAGTGTGTCCCTTGCTTCTGTTTCTTTCAGGGAGTAAATGAGCTCTGGGGGAGGGTAGAAAAGTACCACATTTCAGATCCCACCCCCACCCCAAAAAAGGGGGATGACCTTGATGGACCTCATTGATCCCTTAGGAGAGGTGGATTTGAGCTCAGCATGGACTGAGGTCTTCATGAAGGTTTTAGGTTGTGAGAACCTAGACTCTGGCCCTCAGGAGTGCTTCTAAGTTCAAAACTTCACTGCATTTGATTTATTTTGGGGGTGTGTATTTAATACATTTTTCATAGACTCCCATCTTAAAAGCTTTCTGATTGATTGGCGGCAGGGAGCCAGCTCTCTTACCTAACTAGACAAAGTTCTCACTTTCTCTCCAAAAACCCAAGACATTCAGGAAAGGCCCAAGGAATCCTAGAAGACATTGTGCTGTTCTTTCTCCTCAGATGCCATGCCGCTAGTGGGTTGGATCTGAAAGTGTCACCCAGTCCCTCTTTCCTTTGAATTTGAAGCGGTCTTGCTGATCACAAGGCAGGCACGGGCTTTCCTGGGTCCTACACTCTTCCCTTCCTCCACCAGCTACCATTGTCTGAGAGCATGCTCGTAGCAGAGGAGTGGGTCTCCGTAGTCGGAGCAGGCTAACTGTAGATCCAAGGCCTAGAGTATCAGCTTCGACTTCCCTTTTAATTTTCCTTACAGCTGCCCTGTCCTATACAGAGCCACTTGCCACATGGGACAACTTAAGTTTAAATAAAATTAAATTAAAGATTGAGTTCTTCTGCCACACTAGCCATGCTAGCCATGTCTCAAATGTTCACGGTGGCGACTAGATCAGGAGGCATTCATATAGAACATTTCCATCATTGTAAAAAGTTCTGTTGAACTGCACTGTCTAGGAGTGTACCCAGCCAAGACCTTCACTTTTGTTGAATTTTAAGAAAATAATATCCATAAAGGTAAATAACATTTCCAAGGATCTCTGGGGACGTATTATGAAAACATTTCTTGGCTGTCTTGGAATCCTGTGGGATGTCCTTTATCTTAAACTTTATTTTTGAAAGAAATTTTCTATATTGAATGTATATTTGATTTTTGCAAGGGAAATAATCTAACATAACAATGGTCTTGAAATATAAAAACACTGATTCTTTTGGGGGATGCCCGACATGGTATAGTCCATGATGTTTAAATTATTCATCAATTTCTAGTGACCTGTGAATTTCAAAAGAGAGAGCAAGACTGGAATAATTTTCGGAGAAACATGGCTATATTTATTCCTTACCCTGGATTGTGTTGATAATAATTGTTATGCTCCTAAAGACACTTGGGAAACTGTAATCAGTCACATGAGAAGGCCACCAGGTGAGCTGAGCCCTGGAGTCACAGGACCTAGAATTATATCATTGTTCGGACTCAGGCTGGGAGGACAGTGGTACAGGCTTACGGCACATGTCTCCACAAAAACACTTAGGCACTGAGCGACAATAAATGTCTCCCTCACTCGACCGCATCCACAATTTATACAGTACTTCATGCAAGAAATCACGGGGGGCCAGAATTCACCGTGGGTGGGAAGGCTTAGGCCTTGCTCAGCTGCAGAAAACAAATACAAAGAGTCATAGAGCATTAAAGACAGGGAATTCAGGACTCAGGGACTCTTGAAAAAGTTCCCCCAAAGGAGAGGACCAGAAACTTCCTGTGTGAGCCAGCTTTTCCACTAGGCTTCCCCGTATATACTTGGCCCAAGTGGAGATCAAAGGGAATTCTGGGCAATAGTTTTAAGTTATTAATTAAGTGAAATTGATCTGCAATTATTCTAAGAGTCAAGTGAACCATGGCATAGAGAGAAGATAAAAGAATCTGGGCTCACCATGGTCTTTATTAATTTCCTCTTTACAATGAAAACCTCTCCTTTCATTCTTCCGAGCCCTCGTCCATCCATGTGCAGTAAAGAAATACAAAACAAAGCAGCAGAGCCTCAATCTTTGCACAGTGGCATGAAGACCACATGGGGCATGGAGTATCCATCCAATACTACAGGTCTGGCAAGTAAGGACCAGAACCCAGAAGGTCTGAGAATGAGCGTAGGCAACAGCGGTATTCTGCTATCTTTTGTCATTCTGCCCTGTTTGGCTGAGCACGGGCTTCCTGAGTTTTCTTTAGTCCAGAGGAAGGGTTAAGGAGGGACAGAAGGTCAGGCCTTTGTGGCAGTGCCAAGAGTACCTTCCTCTTTCCCAGGCGACTGCGACTGCCCTCCCCCCAACTTGCATGGACTCAGGCTGGAGATGGGCCGTGCTGGTTCCCAGAACAGGTCACAGCGCCCTGACTAGCCAATTATTGGCGAAAGCAGATATCCTTCCTGACCCCTGACCTATCATCAAGAGGAAACAGAGAGGAGAAGGCATTATCCCTGTGTGCTCCCGCGTGCTCCGATGACAGCACCACGGAAGAACCTCAAGGGGGTCAGAGTGGAAGTGAGGTGGTGCTCGGAGGACGAACAGGAAGCAAGAGGAACCGAAAGCAGAGCCAGCTGCTGGGCTGTGGCTGTGGCAACAGAGGCCGAGCTTTCAAGAGGGGCCCCTGCAGCCGCCAGACCTTGTCCCCACAGACGATGGTCTTCCCGGACCTAGAGCTTCCAGGCCAAGAGGTGCAGTTGGCCAGAAAGCTGACTGTGCTGGCTGGTGTCGATGGCACCAACAGGCCTGGGCACATGCAGGGGAGAAGGTCATGGTCTGCACATGTGACAATGTGCTGAGTTCGGCCCCTAGGTCATTGCCGGTGAACTCAGAAAGGGAAGTCTGATGTAGGTGGAAAACACAAACCTCAGCTCTGCTACCATGAGCTGTGAGGCTTCGTCAAGATGAATTAACCTCTCTGATCTCAGTTTCTCTACTGAGGAAAGCTGAACAATGCCCCCCCCCAACCAAAGTTGTGCTTGTCCTAATTGCCGGAACCTGTGACCCTATCACCTTACACAGTAGAGTGGGCTTTGCCGATGTCATTTAGTTCATGACCTTGAGATGGAGAGGCTTTCCCGGATGTCCAGGTGGGCTCGGTGTCACATAGGGTTCTGTGAGAGGGACTGAGGAGTGCCAAGGCGAGGGAGAGGTGCTGACGGAAGCGGAGGCTGGAACGATATGAGGGAGGGGCCATGAGCTCAGGGACACAGGTGCCTCTAGAAGCTGGGAAAGGCAAGGAAACAGAGTCTCCCCCAGAGCCTTCCAGAAGGAGTGCGGCTCTGATGACACCTTGATTTTGCCCAGTGGGACCTATAACATTCAACATGAAGGGAACCTACCTCATAGGATGTCTGGGACAGGTGAAATGATGCAGTGTATCTAAAGGACTTAGCAAAAAAGTCTCTGCCCTGTAAATGTTGGGTGGCTTTCTCATGAGTTGGTTTTTGTTTGTTTGTTTGTTTGTTTTAAGATTGTATTATTCATTTGACAGAGAGAGACACAGCAAGAGAGAGAGCACAAGCAGGGGAGTGGGGCAGGGAGACACAGACTCCCCACTAAGCAGGAAGCCAGAGGCGGGGCTCTATCCCGGGACCCAGCGATCATGACCTGAGCCGAAGGCAGACCCTTGACTGAGCCACACAGGCACCCACCAAGTCTGTCTTAAACCCCACCCACTACACTGTCCTGAAGACAACTTGGGGCAGTTGGAATTAGGCATAGCTCCTCCAAAGAAACCATGGCAAAGCATTTTAGAATTGATGAACCCAAGGAGATACTTCTAAGTCCTTTACCTCAGGAAACTCTGGAACCCCAGAGTCCCCTCTGGGTAAGCTGTCACACAGACATCTGACTGAAGTCCTGCATTCCAGCCCTGCACAGCCATGCCTTCGCTGGTGTGGGTGGGACCACAAGTGCACTGGAGGCCCTTTTTCCATGAGGTGGCAGGGAAGACTGGAAAACGTCACCATGCTGTGCAGCTGTGACGTGGGTAAGGACTCAGAGCATGTCATTAACGAATGGCTAGGCTGCCGTCAGGGTGTTGCATGACTCCAGTGACCTCATCTGATCATTTCCTGATCACTCGTGTTGATCCCCTTATAGGTTTCTGCCATCTTCCCTGGCTTCGTTTTGCATCAAGAAACTGAATATCTAGATGGACAATGGCCAGACCACATAGAAACATTGAACTCTGACCTCCAATCTACAGCAACCAGCCCAGGAAACCAGCTCAAACAATAATCAGGCCAGGAAGTTGGCCTGTTCTCTATAAATCACACTGTAGGATGTCAGACTTCTATCTCTAGTAACAATCCAGGAAAGGATAACCTCCGAAACAATGGGTCCCAGATGACCAGGACCTGCTTAATAACCATCAGCCTCCCTTATCGATGTCCCCATCTCCAACTTAGGACTAGCCAGAGAAAGCTGCATATGCTTCCCAAGTGATCACATAGGATGCTGACTTCTAGTTGGCCCTCCTATGGCTTCCCCGAGCCAACAGCCTCCAATAGGGGCGTACCCAAAGCCTTCCCTTCTTTCACTGTAAAGCTTTCCCTCTGTCTGCCGTTGAGTCTCTGCCAAATGCAAGCGATGGTGGCTGACTTCCTTGCTATATATAGCAGGCTCTGAATAAATAGCCTTTGCTTGTTCTCATTTGGTTGGTCTCTGTCTCCACATGTCATACGACTGGCAAGTGTGGATTTGGGGGTGAGAACATGCTCTATGCTCCTGGACAAGGGCAAACTGGTCACATGTGGATGGCTCAGCATGACAACTGTGGCCTCGTGAGGCCCGAGACCCCTCTCAGTTTCTATC